AGAGGGCAAAAAGATGATTCTTACTCCTAGGTCATGGTTGCTTAACTAGACTAGATAGTTTTTTTTTTTTTGGAATTATGGTTGCTGTAAATGCATCTCTTGATCCTGGCCTTCCTTTTCTTTCTTTCCTTTGATATTTCTCACTCAAAATACTAATGCTAGTATAAGCCTATTTATTTACTAAACCATATTTTCTAGGCTACAAATGGATAGGCACATGTTGGTAGGTACATGTTTAACTAAAATTGATTATTAGAAAAAAAAATTCTATATATTATAAATTCTATACATTTGCATTACTTTAAAAAATATTTATGATTTACTATATAATAAAAAATATATTATTTTATTATGACAGGATTGACTATGGCTTGACTCTTGGTTCAACTATGATTGAACTCTTGATCCTTGACTCCTAACCTAACTTGGTTTAATGATTAGTTTGGCTTTTAATATCTTAATATTATTACCTACTGCCTCCAACCAATCCAAAGCTTTGACCAGACCATTATTTTCAATAATAACCTTACAAATACTTTAAAAATACCTTTGATATATTTATTTTTATGATCGCATATCTTAAAATTTGAAATCAAAATCTTAAGATAAACTAATTTAATTTTCTTAGCAGTGCCCTCCATATTTCTCCTATTTTTGAAGAGACTGGACGAGAGAATGACATTTGAAGTGGAGGCCACGCAAGGTCACATTTTATTATTTGTCTTTCTCTGTCGGCAACAGTTTATTCTCCTGACCCACACGGACAGGGCAACGTGACATTTGTATTTATATAAATAGTGTGTCTATAACTATATACAATACGACATTTTTCAATTTCAAATCTGAACCTAAATACAATGTTTTTGGTTTGATTGTGATGGCAAAGTCAAATAATTCATCTTGAAGGGCCCACACATTTTGGGAATGAATTAAGACTGTATATGTATTCTGTACAATATTGTTCAATTTTTTTCAAATAAAAAATTAATGAAATTTTAAAATTCAAATATTAAAATATCCAATATTATTAAGTTCTAATTTAATCGAGTAAGTTTTAAAATACCAACAAAATTTAGTTTGATTACATATGGGCTTCTTGTGTTGAACAAGACATGAATATTATATTAATCATTCATAATATTGGTCATCACTTGTTAATAGCGTAAATTTTTGCAATAAATTTCATCTGATGTTTTATTTTAGTAACAAAAGCTGCCTTAAAAAAGATGAAATCTAAAATCATAATAAAACTTAAAACAGTTTGTTGACACGTAGGTTTCAAGAAGATACGATGAAGATTTTGACCACGTCCTGAAATTCTTTTTTTTTTAGAGAATTACAACTACCATCCTCTCAAAAAAAATTAATTACAAATAAAGATAAATATAAAATGAATTGTTATTAATCATGATTTATTTTTTAATAAAATTTATTGTTAATCCTTATTTATAATTAATTTTTTTCAGGAAGCTGGACTATAATTCTCTCTCCTTTTTTTTTTTTTTGGTGCAAGGACACTTCAACAGCCAACCAAAAGCGCACGAAGGTCCAGAAACAACACGTAAAGACAAAAGACAAAAAATAAAAAGAAACTATAGTAAAGAGAAGGCAAAGAAATACCAGCCAACTCCAGTCCTGGTTCCTGAATTCTAAGTATCAGCCCCATGATTCATAGCTTCCACAGCATCAGAGGTTCGAAGAGACAACAAAGAAGGCGATGGTTGAAAAACCCACCCCAAAGGGCCCACCTTCTTAAGAGCACACAGTTGTCCACGACAATTCCACTCAAGCAAGTCTAGAATTTTTTTTTTATCGACAATGTTGAAAAGCAGCAAGCAATCTGTCTCAAAAAGTACTTTATCATGTCCAGTATCAATCATTCAGTTCATTATGTGGTCATTAATCTTGATTCCACCAGATCTGCCAGGACCATCGTAACGTTTTCACTATGGAAATTACCATTTTTGAAGCTGTTCTTGGATGCTGGAGGTTGCTGCAATTTTCCGGCCGTCGTATATATGGTTCTTTTACCTCAGACCTGCTTCCATCCACCCCTCCTTATGAACAACCAGCACCTCATTAATGGTTTTAACATGCAGTGTGCTCATCCAACTCCCAAATTCGATCCCTTCATCACTATCCTCATCGTCACTACCATAAGCCGCTTTACAACTTTTACCATCATGATCAATGCGGCCACCTCCATAACAAAAGTTTTGAAGCCTTTCATATCGAACTGTGATCCAGCCAGGTTCTTTCCTCGGCCTGGGTATCCAAAAGCTAGAGATTAAAGGTTCAGCTATATTGACAATAACTTGCACCCGAACAAAACTTGGCGTAAATTTCTTATTTTCTTGTGGGTTCTCATGCATAACAACTTCTCCCACTGCTTGACCAAGAGTAATGGCATTATCTCTATGAAAGGCTTCGAGAGGAAGACCGTGGAACTGAACCCAGAAACTGAAATCAACCTCTTTATGCCCCGTATAATCTTCCCAGATCTGTAGGTTGAAAAGAAATCCTTGTATTGACCTGGGACGTCCCTTGAGAATTCTATAATAATCCTCTTCTTTATCAAATCTGATCAAGAAAGCATTTTTGTCAGTATCAATATCATCCACCGTCACCCTCTTCATCAAGGTTCCACCCTTTCTTAATCATCGATACAACGACAGGCTTATTGAGCTTTTTATCTGTCAAAATTTTTGCCACCAACGCTCCTCCTTTCTTCTCTCTCTCTCTCTCTCTCTCTCTCTCTCTCTTCTCTCCAGATTCAGGACAACCTCCTTTGTTTTTTTCTTACCCCGACTGCTCTGTCCCACCTCCATATATGCCTCCAAACTACCAACGCACACACCCACAGTACGTGCACACAGTCACACGAACAAACCCTCACGACACTCAAACTCACAAGAAACCAAAATGAAGGAAACAAAGTAAAGGGTTTAGAACAGCTGCCGTTCAAACAACGACAGCGGAAAAGGGTCACTCACAGGACCAAGATTCTCACAGGCGAGAGGAAAAAATGACGTGTGTGGATCAGGTGCTGAAATTCATTGAAATTAGAAAAAGTTGTCGCTGACTGTTGATGATGCTCGTGCTCTCTGAAAAATTTTGATTTAAACGTTTTTTATTTATATTTATTAAAATAAAATTATAATATTTTTAATAAATTTATTTTATCACCAATAATATAAATTTAATTTAAATGGTTTAATTAAATATTAAAAATTTTAGAATTTTTTAAATTTGTTATCTAAATGAACTCTAAACAATCTAAATTTAATATTAATTTTTTTAAAATTTTTATTTTCATAAAAGGAATATTAAATTAAATTTGTATTATTCATATTGATAATAAAATAATTTCTTTAACATTTTTATAATTTTAATTTTAATAAAAATAAAACAAAATTTTAAATTTGGATAGTGGATATTTTATGAACATTGAAACACACCCTGACGGGGTATTTGGAAGCTAAATAATCTTGTGTTTGTCCGTTAACACATGACTTTATTCGAAACCACAAAAAATGGATTCATTTAATACTTCAACATTTCAAAAAAAAATAATCTGAAAATAAAAATTCATACTTTTAACAAAACTTAATAAGAATATTAATTATTAAATGATAACTTCAGAGACAGTCAATAAAAAGATCTATTTCTAATCTCTACCAAAAATAAACAGTTGAGATTAATCGCTTAAGCATTGTAGAGTAGTTCTCCAAGAAATACAATCGAATTAAATGCATACAATAATCAAATAGATTTTTTTGGGCGGGGTTTTGGGGTGGCGGGGGGAAAAGTGGCATTGTTATTGGAATGGTTTGTGGTTTACTGCAATATAAAAGACTATTTATTTTTATTATAAGTCATACTCATTTCATTTTAAATTATAACATATTTTTTTATAGAGATTGAATATTTTAAAATATAAGACACTTTAATAAAAATATAATATTTTTAATAATATTTTTTCAATCTTACCTTTCTCATTATATTATCTCTCTTTAGTATTCTTTTATAAATAGAGTATTAAATGAAAAGTATTTTTAAAAGTTTATATTTTTATTTTAAAAAATAAAATTATAATATATATTTAATGAACTTTATTGATATGTGTAATTTTGTTTGAAAAGGATTTATAATTTGGGACTGAGGATACGTAATATCGTCTAAGAACTTTCAGGTTTTGTCTAATCTTCGAATAATTAGGCTTTTAATCTTTGATTAGTGTTGCTTCTGTCATGCTGCTTATTACGCAACAAATTAAAGCAATGAACCAATCACACGCGCAATCACAACTACTCCAAATTAACGCAGTTGAAGTTTCCAGGAAACAACAAAAACAATACTTATTTGGTCCTATTTATAGAGTAGGAAAAAAGAAAAAAGAAAAAATGTAGTTCTCTTTATTGGGTACTTATCAATTTTTAATACTTCTCTTTATATTTTTGTCCTTATTAAATGTTTTTAAGACAAAGTTAATGAGGTTTAAGATTTTTCTTGCTTCTGGTAAAACATACCGAAAGTAACTTAAAAATTAGAACCAGATGGAGTAATTAAATACTTCTTCCATCCTAAATTGTAAGACTCTTTTAAACAAAAACTCACATATCGATAAAGCTCATTAAATACACTTTACAACTTTTTTTTTAAGACAAAAAATATAAACTTTCAAAAATGCCCTTCATTTACTACTCCATTGATGAAATAATATTTAAGAAAGAGAATATATGGAAAGGTAATATTGAAAAAGTATGATTAATGAAACCTTATTTTTATCAAAATGTCTTATATTTTGAAATGACAAATCTTTTCTAAAAGTGTCTTATAATTTGGGATGGAGGGAATAACATGCATCATTGTCACTTTGAACACAAGTAAGTAGTCACTATACATAAGCATATATTCCCTTTAATCCTATTTATAAGTCACTTTTAGTATGTTTCACCAGAACTAAAGAAAACCTTAAAATTTATTAATTTTATCTTAAAATTTAATAATTTTCATCTTTATCCATAATAAATATTCTTAAATCTTCTTAGTGGTATTTTTATTCAAAGCATTTAATAAAGACAAAAATATAAAAAAGAGCATCTGAAATGGACAAGGGTTCTATAAATAGGATCAATTTTTTTCTTCTCTCTCTACCCTATAAATAGAGCCAAGAGAATGTATATACATATAAGCCATGCTTCACAGATCCATTGCTTCAGTACTCTCATCAAACTTATTAGCTTCTCAAAATGAACCCTAATCGTTCTCCTTTTGAATCAGTTCAACATTACCTGATTGAAGATGATCCTTATTCCTTCATGATTCACATGAATAATGGCTTCTTCACGGCGGCCGGGGACCCTACTTCCAACTTGAACTGCTACACGGCTTTGCCTGATCAGGGTGCTAGTAGCTCCACTGGTACGGTGTTTTCCGGCGAGAATGACCACACTGTGAAACGAGATGGTCATAATTGGGTTAATGGAAATGATGAAGGATCTGTGGGGCGTGAGGAGAACGCGCCACCTACATGGAGGAATCTGAACTACGACTCTGCTTTGCCGGAGCAGGGTGTTAGTAACTCCGGTGGTATGTCGTTTTGGGACGGGGATAATGACGACGGTATGAATTCAGGTGGTTATGACGATGATAAGGTTAATGGTAATACCACAGGATCTGTGGCGTGTGAAAAGAACGCGCCACCTCGATGGAGGAATTACCGAGGCGTGAGGCGGCGGCCATGGGGGAAGTTCACAGTGGAGATCCGGGACCCGAAGAGGAACGGCGCAAGGACATGGCTTGGAACCTATGAGAGCGGGGAGGACGCAGCTTTGGCTTATGACAGAGCTGCTTTCAAGATGCATGGCAGAAAAGCCAAGCTCAATTTCCCACACCTTATTGGATCGGAGCCGGCAATAGTAGTCATTGGAGAGAAGCGGGGCAGCTCGCCGGAACCTTTGTTGCCGTCAAACTGTACGACTGAGGATGATGGATCTCAAGGACCAAGTAAGAAGAAAAGCCTGGCTGGTCTATTGAACAAGTTAGCAACAAATAGAAGCCATGTCAGATTCTGTTGATACTAAAAATCTAAAATTAACAAACTGTATCATTCATTTAAAGTATCATTATCGAGTTTCGCGTTTAGCTTGTTCGTTGTCATGTGCTAGAATTGAAGGAAGTGTAAAAGAAGATGAATATTTCTATAATGTACAATATTCTAATAAATAGTAGGGGAATAAAATGACAATATAAAACAAATTCTCATTAAAAAAAAGTATTCACATTTACAATTCAACAGTATTTTAAACATAATTGTTTCTAACTAGGGGATTCATATATGCAATAAAAAAATGACAATACAAAAAAACTAAATTTTAAAAAAATATAGATTTAAAAAAAAATTGTGAAAAAGGGAAAATTGGCAAGAAGGATGATGACGTAAGGTTATTTAGGAAAAAAAAAACTAAATCTTTCAACTGAATTAAAATATGACCTTAATTCACTTAATCTTAATTTATTTGAAAGATCTTAATTTTTTTTATAAAATTTTTTATCTTATAGTGTTCTCAATAATTTTGCCGGAAAAGCTAAACACGCGAAAAGAAAGTGAGGACCTAGGACCCACCACTACTTAAACAATTATTTATCTACAGTATTATTTGATCATTATGCTTTCCTGTATTCAGGGGCCGACCCAACTTTGGATTACCGGGGGTGGGGGGGCCAAAGCTAGAGTTCCCGACCATATATATCACCTAAATACCAAAATTAACAAGTAGGAAATAATACAAATTCTTCTCCTGTTTATTTTGTTTTGGAGTATATCTGAGTTAGTAAAAAATTATAGAAAATGACAATAAAATTCTTTTAAAATATATAAATAAAAATTTAATCTCTTAAAATGTTATAATTTTCCTGAAGTTCTTAGGGACTTTTCTATCATTAATTAATTTATATAAATTATCAAGTTATCCTTGTTAAAAATAAATAATTGATAACTTTTTTCTTATATTCATAACTTTTCTTCATAAATTCATAGTAATATAATAGCAAATTTTATATATTAAATTTCTTATTTGCTATTGCATTATTGCGAATATAAGAAAAAAGTTGTGAATTATTTATTTTTAACAAAGGTAATTTGATAATTATGTAAATTTATTAATGACAAAAAAGGTCCTAAGGACTTCAAGAGAATTATGATATTTCAAGGGACCAAAAGTCATTTATATATTTCAAAGAGATTTTATTGTCATTTTTTCAAAAAATTATGTAAGTGTGAGAATATGTGATGCATATCTATCTAATGTGGGTAGCTCTATTCATTTGAAGCATAGGTGCAACATTGAATGAATGTAAGGAATGAGAATATCAGTAATGAACAAACATATATTCATCAAATTTAAAGACAATAATAAAGGATCATGGGTAAGTGTTGGAACTTGGAATTAAAAAGGAAGAATCTATTGTTAGAGGGAGGCATGAGAGTAGTGTGAGATCGTTGGAGAAGGGGAGGAATAGAGTGAGGAAGTTGCTGATGTTATTTTAGTTCACTCCTTGCTTGCCCAATCAGCTATCTCACTATCATCCCATTCGGTCAAGTTCAAACAGCTCCATGTCCTATTGCAATAATAAATTATAATTTTACATGTTTAATTTTTAATTTGTTGTTGTGTTGTTGTAAATATAAAAGAAGTTATAATTATTTAAACAAAACTTGTGAATCGTTTTATTTTTAACAAAGATAATTTGCTCATTTATATAAATTTATGATAACAGAAAAGTCCTTAAGAACTTTAATAAATTTATGATAATTTGAGAGATTAAATTATTATTTTCCCTTTATATTATAGTCAACCACAAACTACTCCAATAACAATGCCACCTCTTTTCTTCTCGGAAGAAATCTCAAACTCTAATATTGACATGTTTGTATGCATACTTATTTAATTTTGATTGTATATGCAAAAAAAAAAAAAGATGATTTCTTGGAGAACTCTAGAATGCTTAAGAGATTAATCTCAACAGTTTATTTTTGGTAGAGATTAGAAATAAATCTTTTTATCGACTTTATCTAAAGTTATCATTTAATAATTAATTTTCTTATTATGTTTTGTTAAAAGTATGAACTTTATTTTTATTTTTAAATTATTTTTATTTTAGTTTGAGGTATTAAATGAATCCCATTTTTTGTGCCAGTTTAATAGTTTCGAATAAAGTCACGTGTTAACGGATAAACACGAGAATATTTAGCTTCCCAATACCCGTCAGGGTGTGTTTTAATGCTCATACAATTTGAACTATTTAAATTTAAAATTTTATTTTATTTTTATTAAAATTAAAATTATAAAAATATTAATAAATTTATTTTATTATCAGTATGAATAATACACATTTAATTTAAATGATTTAATTAATATATATTTATTAAAATAAAAATTCATAAAAAATTTAAAAAGTAATATTAAATTTAAATTGTAAATAATTTATTTAGGAAATCAATTTAAATTTTTTTAAAATTTTAAATTTTATTAAATTATTTAAATAAAATTTATATTATTCAGATTGGTGGTAAAATAAAATTATTAAAAAAATAATTTTCTAATAAGTATAAATAAAAACAGTTTAAATCAAAATTGTTTAGATCTTATTAGTCTAGTGAGCACAAGCATCAAAAATGACATTTTCTAATTTCAAGGAATTTCAGCCGTGGTCAAAATCTTGCTGTGTTTTCTCGAAACTAGATCTAATAATTTAAGTGGATCGAGCTTATTTGAATCAGGCTTTAAAGTATTATAACCTTTAAAAAAAGCTTATATATCAAGTCTAGCCCTAACATCTTCAAGCTTTAGGCTCATTTGGGCTGGCCCGAATACCTAAAACTTTTTAAAAATAATTTTTTAACCTTTTTTGAACTAATTTTAATTTGTAATTTAAAAGTTAATTTTTTTTCCAATAATATAAACATAACAACACATTTTAGATTAGTAAAATACATGTAATAAATCATAAAAAATACATTAATATTAATATTAATAACAAAATTTAAAAATTTAATTGCTTAATTTAACAACAAAGGCATGCTACCAAGTACTAATAAAGCTTGTAAGTGTTTAAATAATTTGAAAGTAAGTTTAATATTACATAACTGTATAATCCTTTCACAAAAAAGATGAAAATTTTATAATAAAGTTCAAAACATCATGCCATCAATTTTTTCTAATTCCCTATTCTTTTTGACTCTTTTGATTGACATTGTCATTATCATCAGAAGTTACATTTAAACTCTCAGTGGACATATCAATTGGTGAAATTTCTTCAAATGATTTCCTCTCATTTTCAATCACTATTTCATTATCTGCAATAAATGAACAAGTTTAATAATATAATTTAGTAAAATTTGCTTCCAATCAAGAAACAAAAAATATATAAAAATAATCATAAATTACCATCATCTTGAAAACCATGCAACTAGTTATGGGTGCAAATAAGAGCCTGAAAATTATTAGGAAGAAGAGTGCTCCAGTATTTTGTAAGAACCCGTGAACCAATGCTGAATGCAGATTTACTTGCAACTGTAGTGATTGGAATGCTAAGTATATTAGCTGCCATCTTCAAAAGAATTGAAAATTAACCTTTATTAGTATTCCACCAATTAAGGACATCCAACTCTTGATATACATAAGGCTGAAGTATTGCTTCATCCAGATAAAATTCAAGCTCAGACTTGCCAATAGACATAAAATCCATACTTGTATGACTAATCCAATCCTACATCATGCAAAAATTTGAAGTAATATATGTCTTAAAAAATTAAAATAAGATTAAAAATATAAAAAAATTGACATTAAAATCCCTTGAATATTGCTTGTTTTTGTTGAAGCAGTAGAAGTAATGGAGGATTGAGTTTGATATGCATGTATTGGCATTATTGAACTTGATCCAGCCCCAACATCAAAAATAGAAGTCATCTCTTTATACTGATTAAAAATATATTTCAATTTGCTTTGGATATTCCCAATTCTCGCATGGCAACTTATAGGATCAATTTTGGCATAAATATATTGTATCGTTTGAAGCTTCATTCATGGATCAAGCACAGCTGCAATTGCAAGGATAGTGCTATAATCATTCCAATACTTATCAAACTTGCCTTTCATTCTTTTGGCCATTTCATAAATCACAAGATCACCATTGAGCATATTTTCATCCAACAAGAGTCAAATTTTTTACACTTGAGAGAAATGCAAATTTAAAGTGGGATAAAATGACCCAGACATCAACCTTGTCATAACATCAAATGGCCTTAAGAAATTGCACATCTCCTCTCCTCTCCTCCACTCTTCATGTGTTGGCAAGATGTGAAACTTGTATCATAGCAAGATAAGCTAATAAAAGCACAACAATATTTTAATGCACTCTCAAGCGTTGCAAATGTTGAATTCCATCTAGTAGGCACGTCCATTCGCAAGCCTATTGAACAATCAATTCCACCAACTTTTTCAACACATTGCTTGAAAGTAATCATCCTTACCTCTGATCCTCTCACATACTTAATGCTGTTCCTAATCTTATTTAAAGCGGTACTTGTCACTTTCAAACCCTCTTAAACTATCAGGTTTAGGATATGGGCACAATACCTTATATGAAAAAGCTCCCCTTCACAAATCAAGCTTACATTGTCTTGCAAAGCTAGCCTCTCTTTCAATTTCTCCTGCATATTATCATTTGTAAAGGTATTGTCTAAGGTGATAGAAAATACTTTCTTATTGATCCCCCACTCCACCAAACAATCATATACTTTTCTAGCTAATTTTACTCCAAAATGTGGGGGTTCCACGTGAAAAAGAAAGTATTTTACTATTTAACATTCAATTTTTATCAACAAAATGAGCAATCAAACATAAATAACCTTCAAAGGTTATAGTTGTCCAACAATCAGAAGTTAAGGAAATTCTTCTAACACTATTTAACAATTTTTGTTTCAAGGCTTCTTTGTGTCCATGATACACTTTCATGACATCACTTATTATTGTTTTTCTAGTAATACACTTCACATTAGGATTCAAGACAATAGAATAACGCTTAAACCATTTATACTCAACAATAGAATAAGGTAAATCATGTTCAATTATTATCATAGACAAAGAATGCCGCACCTCCTTTTCA